AGTGTTGGCACTGATGCTTCACTGCCCAAAATAGTCTCAAAGTTCGCAGTGGATTGGCTGGTATTATCAAGTGGTGGTCGGATTTGAAACTCAGGTTCGTTATTGAATATCGAGCATCTAATCCTTCCTTCCCCGAGAAATTTACGCCTTGCAGGGAGCTGTCATTCTGAAGCGTTCCATACTTAGGAACCATGGCAAGTTGGATTTCAGCGTCCCATCGTAGCCAATTTGGTGGCAGCGAAATTAAACTACTACCTTGGAATGAAGTAGATGGTATTTACCGCAAGAATGACTGATAGCATGAGGCAAAAAAGACGTGACCCGAAGCCACGTGCCGTCCCGACATAGGAGAACTAGTGTTAACTAGTGCTAACTTCAGCACTCCGGACGCATTCAATTCCCCAGAATGCAATTATACTGGTTCTTAAATGAAGGGAAAACTTTGGAACACCGTACCATCACATGAAAGCCTTAATCAATGAAACCAAAGAAAGGGCCGCCGTTGAGCGCAAGTGCGACAGAGGCACAGAGGAATTCGGCATTAGAACACTAGCTGAAAAAACCGACTAAGCGAGTATGTTGTCAGCCTTCGAAACGGGGCAACATGACCCAACACCGTAAAAGCTCGGACCTACAAACATTAGGGACTCGCTCTCAAGGGGAATTTCCAGCAAAAACCCCAGGACCCGTTATCCTTACGGTTTGCCGTGAAGCCAGGATCGTCTTCTGACAAGCAGGCACATTAGGCCTTACAAAATCGGGGACAAACACAAGTGATGGAAAGACTATACCCCTGCTGAGTACTAGTGGCCGAGTTTGTCGCTGAAGTACGAATCTAAGACAAATCGACTCAGGTTGCCATGGCAACTAATTGAGGTGATCTAGATCCCGAATTGCATTCTGCCCCGTACGGACCACCACAAGAAGCAATAGCATAGAGTAAAGCGTTCCATTGCTAGTGCGAATGACTACGTCCACCCACTGGGGAAGTGGAGTTACAATGATAGATTGTGTGCAGGTTATTCAAACGCGACGACTGAGCGAAACAGTGCTTGAAGCCCTCAATATACACTTATCACTCCCTGCCCAATCATTTGTCACCATATAGAGGTCTTCTCGGAAATTTTAGTTCAGACGTCTTTCCAAGTGGGGATATTTGATCTTAGGGCGCGTATTCGTTATTGATCGCCTTGCTACACTCGCACTTAGTCCCCAGTTGGATACCGTGACATGAATAGATACCAAATTAGGACATACTCACTTACCTCGCTCGGTAAAAGATTTGGCCCATATCACGAAACACGGGTCCGAGAACCTGTCGCGGTAAAGTACAGATGCATTCAATCACGGCAACAACGGCCAAGGAGCACACGACTTTTGCAGCGTCTACTGGTATCAGAGAAGGCAATCGCGTCAGGGCTATCTTCGCTGGACGCATTCACAGAACCTACAGTCGTGCGCACAGTACGAAGGTCATGTTTGATCCTGTGGTTAGGTCACAGTCCAGCGGCATAGCGGTATCAATAGTGGCATCAAAAGCAGCAGTATATGAACCCGAAAACCCATTAACACCCACCTGCTCGCAGCATCACTTGGTTATGTGGGCAACTATACGGAACGCCTTCATGTTCGAGATGACCCAGTGGTTAAGGGGCGAACTCACTGACAACAAGGCCCGAAGTCAACCGAAATTCCGCATCCCAACTATCCCTGTCTACGCTTGGGAACAGGAAGTTACTCATCCCTCGCTCTTCCTTCGCGTGGTGTGGCAGCCTGTTGTTGAAATATGCACTCGATTGTGGCTTTCATAGACGCTAGCATCCTTCGCTTAGCCACGCTCAGACTCATTTGAACCAGTCACCAAATATCATTCGGGAACCTCGCTAGGTGGCCATTATATCAAAAAGTTAACAAGCGACGTCGACCACAGTGCACTCCGATCGGATGGTAGAAACTTTCACCAGAACCATGTCACACAATCGATGAAGCAGTATCTCGACCGGTGGCAGTGTCAATTGTCACAAATCTACCTTCTACATACCGAAAGGCCAGTTAGTACGCCTACCGCCACATTATCAGTTGAATTCTAGCAACCGAGGACACACTCCTTGGGCCGGCCGACAGTCTGATCACTTCGCAAACGGGGCAATTGAATCAGTGAGTGGGGAATGCGCTTTCCACCAACTAACTCGGAAATACAAAGCTAGATCGAGCTGACATATCCCTAAAAACGCTCCTAAATTCACACATGGGGAAGGCAATTAAACCACATACAAATCACATACCAATATTTCACCACATTACCAACCACGTACAAATCTACCCGCTGCAGTGGAAGCTTAAGTCTCTCGGATCACCTGACTTACCCTCGTTAAACGAAGTGGGCCTATGTTGTCCACAACATAAGAATGTGACTGAAAAGAAGACATCCAGGATTGGTTTATTCCTTTGACTTCGATGCCCACCGCCATGGATCAGCTGGCTGTGCGCAACCTAGTGCCACGCCGCTGCTGGTCACGTGAGGAGTGCACTGTATGGACATTTATCGTCGTTTTCTGGGATGAAGCTGTTTGCTGACCAGGAGCAGGGAAAGTTTTGGTTTCTCCAACATCATTTGGGGAAAGTGCATGCTGGCACATAACCAATATGGCATCTGTACACAAATGTCCACATTGGCAACGACCTCAGGAGACGTGGGATGGGTCGACGAATAGCTGCATCAGGTATCCAGAGTTCATAGGCGTAATCCATACAGCATAAGTTAGTTTTGCTACTACCATAAACAGGCAGCAAAATGGTGTCTTACACCCACAGTTTGAACTAAAGTTGACTTGTGTTCCGTTCTGGGCAGAAAGAGTGCCTCCCCCCATCTGATACCGATTAGGAACCTCTAGGAAGCCCCATGCACGAGGCTACCAACAAATATGACCCTAAAGTACTGTAAGTTGGTAACTCCAAAGCGGGAACGCGGAAGCACCGCGCAGGATATGATGGCAGGTCGATCTGGAAACATTAGGCGCATCGGCGAAAACATCTGATGGAACGAAGACGCGTGGTGATGCTACGCCTTAGTTGTGTTCAATGTTGCTTATACATCAGTCCCTTCAAAAAGTAGATGAATAATGCAAAGGCAAAACCACCCTACTCCATCTACTAACGACAAAAAAGTCGGCTACAATTTTGCCACACAGGACAGCCTAGTTCGATTGGTGTGGAATCGCGGAGGGTCAAACGAATCAGACAAAACGCCGATAGTACGCCAATTTGGTTCTCTTCGGATTAACCTTATTCAAACGTCAATTCAATTTATCAGCTATAAACCATACCATAGGCACATTGATCCCAGCCGCTACGGCTTCGACCACCGGAAAACGAAGGCAATGGCACATCTGGTTAGTTTGGGAATTGGGTACCTACGAATTGAATGCGACAGCATTGATGCAAGAGCGCCAATAACTGCGCGATTGGCCATTTCTAGTGAGTTGAATCCATCGGTTCCTATTCAAGAAGGCGGCAGTTGTCGACCCGATCAAGTTTACTGGTTAGTCTTTTCGTACTTCGTACACTGTCCATCTCTCGGTGGCTTCCACTCAGCACACGACTGGGTAGAGAGCTCTGTGAGGGAGACGGTCTTCTGTCATGCGTAGTGTGTCTTGATCAGCGTAACCTATGAAGTGCGGGTAACTCATCTATCGCAGAAAAGTTCCTTCTTCCTAAATACACCTGGCATACCTCAGCACTGCTAATCCGATGTTCCCACCAGACCTGACTAATGATTCAGACACTGATATCTTCCGTAGGTCCTTGGCGCGTAGGGGCCACGTTTCTGATCCTTAAAGCAGTATGGATCGCACCACCGCAGTGTAAACTCTGCCCTCAACAGACAAACTGGCATCACGTCAGAGGTTGCCAAAAGCTGTCGTGGCCTTCCCGATTCGAGTAGTCTCGATTCTAGCCGGTCCACCTGAAGTCATACGGCTGTCCAGGTAAAAATGTATCCGCCGCTTTGAGTGTCTTACATCACCAAACGTGGTGAACTCAAGCGAAAGCTTCTCTTACACTCGTACGCGCCCACAGGAGTTCGCATATAATGCCCTCATGGGGGATATATGTTTGGAAGGGACACTTGATCGCTAGACACTGCCAAAGTTTCTGATGACCGACAGAGTCAAAAGCTTATCTCAAGTGAGGAAAAAAGGACCAACGTGGGACGTCTGAATGAGTGGTGCTGTTCAACAATTTATCTCAAGGTAAAGATATGGTCGATGCATCCTCGTCCAGGGCGAAACCCAGCTTGATTCTCACGATACTCCGTCAAACCGCGCAAATGAATGCCAGAGAACACCTCAGGTGTGACGGCATAGTGCAATTATGGGTCAACTTGAGTCGGTCGTAATTCGGATAGGGCAAGGCAACAAGTCTTCGATGGAGAGACATTCAAGGGACATGAACAGACAAACACTAGTCAAATGTTTGTTCGAACAAACAATGTTGGACAATAGGAACCCACCCAACAGATGATAAGCCCGATGTTATGGCATAAGCGAGACAGCGACCCAGGTAAAAATCATGGTACACCTACATATGAAGGGTTGCAGTACTGCGCAGGCTAAGAAAAGTAACATATCGCCCGGTAATTATTGCCGAAACTATTTCGATTACGCAATATTTCAGAGTAAATCTAGCCGCTGCGAGAACTGTGATGGTTAATAAGCGGAAGCAAAAACTGAGCAATTTGGAATTCTAATATCCCTCCAATTTACATGATACCAGCAGGTGTGCGAATAAAAGTCGGAAAACTGTAAAATGTATGATCTTCAAAAAGGGGCTATGTACACGGCATTGGTAAGAGAAAACTGATCGTCTACATACTCAGTGGTAGGGCTTCAAGCGGTAATCCGAGAGACTCCATCCGCCAGTATTCGAATCCGCAGGCAGTTGAAGAGCGATGATGATGATGATCCACGGAGACTACGTGTTGGTCAACCGATTGCTTACGTTGCTTGACACATTGCATTCCAGACAGACTTGCAGTCAATTTTGTCCACTGGTTCCAAAATATCGGGAGGCAGCGAGAACTGATCACAGAGAAGCTTCGTACATTCAACTGTAGAGGGCAGCCCAACTGAATCCGAAATAAACTGTAGACTAACGTTAGGACGGAAACTATTAGTGTGAACGTACAGGTACACGAATTATATTGCCGTGTGAGAAAGGCGAATGGTGGACATGAGAGATGACGCGGGAGTAATAGTGAAAAATATGGGACCAACGCGTGAGCAAAAATGGAATAGGAAATCAGTCCGTAGAGAAACCAACGTTGAAGAGGGGTGGGTAGCCAAGATTCCACGGTATTTCAGTCCGTTATAGATGAGAAAAAAGCAAGTACATGGCCAAGTTAGGGCGAAGGGAAGTGTAATGAACATTATAACTGACGGGATACGCGAAAATTACACACAAAATGCCACAAAAAATAGGCAGAAGGCGTCCAGACAGATTGCATTGGTGAGGTACCTAACGAACCACTCAGAGAATACGGCTGGGATAAAAATGGGAGCATTTTAACACAAAATTCGACATTAATTAGAACATCGGATTAACAATTCAAACAAGCAGACTGAGGAGTGGATAGTATAACGGGAAGTCCGGCGAGACGGAACCTAAGGTAGGATCGAGCAGCCAGTCTATTTATCAACACGACAGGGGAACGCATCAACCAATGAGGTGAATACAGTCCGAGAGTAGTATCTCAGGTCGATGTTGACAGCTTGAAGAAATGAGTTAAGCCCAGTGGTGAACAAAACGTCTGCGTGAGGAGGGCCAGTCATAATGCTTAGTTATGTTTCCACCGTATGTGTGGATGAAACCTTCTAGGAGCGCGAGACTGTCCTGTAAAAATCGGCCACTCGCTTAAGCTGCGCTTCCGCATACCATCACATCACAGGTGAGTCATCGTATTAAGAAACACTGAGAGCACCCGCATAATACAGGCGAGCAGGAGTCGGCACGTCGCACACAACCCAAACGGTGGGGGCATAACAGACTCTAAAGAGCTTTTCCGTCGGGAAAAGATAGCCACATTTTGAGTGTGGTAACCTAAACAAGAGATCCATTCTGATTGTGTGAACTGACCGTCTGTCACAAGCCCAGATGACTGGCCAGTGCAAACGAGTCTTACGGTCCAGTTTTTAGGCGTTCACAAGAAATCTAAGGGGAACATTGATCTTAATCAGTGTGGAACTGAATTCAAATACCGAGTCGAGAGCTTCTAACCGAAAAACCGGCTGAGGTTTTAAAAAACCCTCATAAGTACACTCCTCTTTCTCCGGAGGGACCAACTCAGGGGCAAGGCGAAACGAACTTGACTACCGGGATATACCCTAAAGGATAAGTTGAGAGATCTTTCAAGAGGAGAGATTAGACACACACTATGAGCAAACTCTTAATGAGATAAACTCAGACAGACAGAACCGACCAGTTCGTAAAGCTGGGACCAGAGTTTTCACTCTGACGGACAGATCCAAACACCAGCAAATTCGAGATACAGCGTCGTTTTTGAACTCAACGTGAAAATTTGAGTCAACTATCTATATAACCTACTCGACGGTGAGACATATCAACAAGGTGTCTTGCGTGAGTATTAATCCGGTGACCTAACTTGAGTCAGATATGAACTACGCACACTTTAAAAATAGTTTTCAGTGCGTTCTTCCGTTCCCGTTCCAGGAACCACTGAATTACTTGTCCACACCGAAGTGGAGGTTGCTCTCCATCATCAGGCGGACAGACCAATCGGAAGAACCGACGATAGTTGTGCAGTGACCAGGCAGACCGGACGTCCAGTGCATAACGGACGCACGGATTAGACTTGTGGGTTGGCCGTAGACCGGCCATAATGGTGTTCATACCTAAACAAATAGAAAAGAAAGGTTAGTGGTAGATCAGTGACTACCACGATATTAATAAAAATTCACCGACATAACCTGCATTTAGGCAGATATAACAGAGCTGGCCTTCGCGTGAACGAGATTATCTGCTCTGAAGAGCAAATGACTTGGTAAACAAAACGGTAAAGCCTGTATGACAAGTCTGAACTGTGAAAGTAGGCACACGCGCTTCCCTACTTTACTTTGCTTCAGATCAAGGGAGACAGGAAACTGGAGGCAAACCAGACATCTAGACTTTTCTGGTCTGTTTTCGGATAAGCTGGCAAAATTGGGAGCAACGCAGAAATATATCATCATCAAACGACTGGCGCTGCAGACCTGACCTCATGAGCGTGGGGTTTTCCGAGGCGATATTATTGATCACCTGACGATCACCCAACCGTTGCATAAAGAAGGAATACAGAGCAGTAAGAGTAAGATGGGGGTTGTCCAACAGAACAGCCCTCACTAACAGTTAATAAATGAGTGGATTTTAGGTCTGTTTCATCACCATCATCAATATCATCATCGACAGCATGACATCAGTGTTCAACACCGATGCTTCGGTGCTGTACAATAGGCCTGTTTACTAATACGTTGATTTGCTCAAAGCTAAGCTATATCACAGAAGAGTTGTAGGCTGTCTTGCCCTGGCTAAACCCGCTTGCCGGCGCACAGCGTAGCCTGTGATACGCTAACGAGTAATTAGAACGACATGGAACAGGTGATCATCGAAAAATTCCGACCTGAAGGTTTTCAGTGTTCTAGTCTCTGAAGAACCCAACGTATGTGTGGACTTTGTTGACTCATGTCGGCTGATTGGTGGGCTCTGAAAACTTTTCCCGTGCTTTGCCAAGAAAAAATCTCCAGCCAACATCTCCGCATGTACATGAGAGAATAGCGCTGACAAAATCAGGGCACCTGAGCGGTGATACTGAGCAGTAATCGCAGCGCTGGATGCATCGATGCAAGTTTAAGACCTTGGATTCATCGGAATACGGTGAGAAAAGCAGTTTGGTTGCTAAAATAGCGTAGTAAATATTCCGTCTCTGATTGAACCTCAGATGGGACCAAACTGGAGCTCAATGAAGAGTGGTAAGCAACAACCCTTAAAATGTACTTTAGCGAGTACGTCACTACGGGTTTTGTTCGGCGATATTGTTAACCTCTCAAACCGGCCTCCAAAGTGGTCAGCAGTGGGCCCCAGGGTGGTCACACAAAGACTGCATGGACATCGACTAGCTGAATGCTACCAGACTATATGCAAGCATCGTCAAACGCATCCGATCTCGGTAGTGTCTGAATGGGGGAAGCTGAGAAATTTGAAGTTGTATGCTAAGAACTTCAAGGAACTGAGATTTTGATAGCGAATGCAGCAGAACTACGCCAAACTGATCCTGAACGAGCTCACCTGTTCACTAAGCCGATGGCCCCGGAGTACCAAACACACAGTGAAATATGACGACGCTGAGCTTAGATGGACTACCATGATTCAAATACAACTTGCGGCCATCAGTAAGGATTTCAGATAACAATATTAGTAAGGTCGTAAGGCAGAACCCGGGTTTGAACCACGGACCATCCGGTCAGTAAATCCGAGCTCTAACCACTGAGCTATCTCGCCCGTATGTTGAGTAAGGAAATAAACTGAACATTCAGCGAACTGTGCGACCGCTTAAAAAACCAGATCATCTTGTTCCTGGGCGTGAATTAAAAAAACGGGAACGGGGGGAATCTCAAATCTCAACACCATCATCCGTGAAAAGCAGGTATAAACAACTTACCCAGCAAATCCAGCGTAAACATGTAGTACAACAATCGATAGGCCGTGAACTCTAAAACACGAGCAGATCCCAGACCTTCGTTGTACAAACGTAAAAGTTGACTCTGACACTGGTGGAATTCTTCGAAATCGCCTGCGTCAAGAGCGGCATCTGCATGTGTCTCGTAGACAGCAACAGCGAACTCATCTTCGATACCTTGTACCTAGAAAATCAAAAATCGAGCTCACGGAGATCTTAAAAAGATGGAATAACGAGGCATACTGAGAAGTCATCTTCACAACACAGACAGCGTGATGTGGCAAACACCATAAACAGCATTAAAATTCGAACGCTGGTTGCAAATCAGGGTTGGAGATGTCGTTCAGCTATAGCACCCTTTCGGTGCCTTAGTGCCATACCGTCGGAAGGAAGCACGAGGGCTGAGATACTGCCAGGTTGCCCAAGCCTAGACAGGGGAGGTCGAGAGGCAGAGGTCGGGTTCGAACCACGGGCCTTCCGGTCAGTAAATTTGCGCTCTAACCACTTGGGCCATCATCAATGAAGACAACAGCAGTGTTTACACTGATGCTTCACTGCCGTACAACCATACGTATTGTTAGCTGAAAATGTCATGGTTGTACGAGGGCTGGGATACTACGAGGGCGCCCACACCTAGACGGGGGGCGGGGCTGGAGATGATACACATCCTGAGAGCTACAGAGCAACTCATAAGGGGAGCCGGTTCGGAGTCAATGTTTGAAGATAAAAATCCAAACCTGTTAGATATGAAGAGCATGCGAGAACATGGAATGAATTTAATTAGCCAGCCTAAAGCGCGTAAGGAAATGAGACAGGGTGACAGCACATTTCGATCGTAGACGACTTTCGTCATCACAGTCCGAACATCACAAGACCACAGGGGAGGAACAATTCATCTTGATTCAGTTCAGCCAGATGGCCGACGGAAAGCTACAGAGTGACCATACATCTATACGCCTAGGATATAAGTGTACATACATGTACAATGCTTCCCGAATCCCACTAAAGGCCCCGAGTACTTTATTTACGCTCCTTTTGTAAGAAGTGCACCTCTTAAGACGTCACCTCCACAGAGTGAGAAAATTGTCCGACCGAAGAGTAAATAACTTCAACAAGCAAAAGTACAGGATAGAATAAAGATACTTGAAGCATTTTTCAAGCAGTCAAGAAATTAGATCAATTCCATATGCTTTTTCAACCTGAAATCAAACGAGGCAAACGAATGATGGTCACCGGACTGAGCGGAGAAAATGAATCATGCATAGGATTATTAAGTTGATGACCAGCTGGACTGATAACTAGGTCTCCTAATGCTGCAGACATTGACGGTGAACCTGTGGTTCCCGAAGGTGCTGAGCGGGATTCACACATCGCATAGCTCGAGACCGTGGAACAGCTATCGTTCATATAAAAGACAGGCATTTAAATGACTGTATTTGAAACAAGCGCAAGAAAGGGAAGTTGTTTGTGCAACTGCTTTGACGTATGACATCAGCAGGACAAAGGCAAAAAAACAATGCTGCCTGTCCAATATAAATGTTAGACTGTCAGCTGTCACAAGATATGTATTGGTCCGTTAAATCGCGAAAGTAGACGTGTGCCTCATTTTCAGACCGAGGAATTTCATACAAATTAGCCTGATATAAGGAGGAATAACTTCTCGAATCAGCTGATCCTCTTTGTTGTTGACGAAAACACAGTGTGTTGCATCGTACTCGAGGAAAGCAACCTTTGTAAGTTTCCGGATGTAAACAAAGTTGAACAACACATCACTGCGCGGCCAGAAAACAATATTATTCACTGTTTTGGTGTAGACACAGGCGAAAGCAATGCACCAAGAAACTTCAATTCTCAACTACTTGGCGTTTAATACGATGCGTGCAAGACGAAGAGCATGAATCCCTTTACTCGCAATAGGAAATGATGTATCTAAGCACATGGAGATTAACCTAGTCTTAAATCACGATACCATCCACTGTCTTCCAGTGATTCATGATACCAAGTGAAACCGTGAAAGTCAGTAGAAGAATGAAGAAAGCGAACAAGGCTTGTTTAGTCCTCTAGTAATAAATCACAAATTTTTATGATACCAGAAATAACGTGGAAACTTCATGCGAAAACGGAGGGTATTATACATAATGAGTGAAAAAGCAGAATAAGTTGGAGAGGGTTGAACGAGAGGTACACAGGTCTATGAATCACGGAATCAAGTGAGTGGTCTCAATGCCAGACACGTTTGTGAGACCGAATTTTACGCAGGTCAGCTCAAGTTCAGAGGTCGCACGAGTTCACTTCGGATGCGAAGTTGTGGGTCATGCAATCGTATTCCCAATGCTTTTGCGGTCGACAATGGTCCGAACCGTAACCAGCCGTGATCGGTACAGTGACGACACTCATGCTTCACTGTTGTAGACTGAGGTACCTGCTACACAACCAAACATCCGTCTTCTAATTACCTCGTTACGAATTCGCCTATGCCGCCCGACACCAACAGCGCTTCTGAGACATCGGTTGTCAAAACCTTGAAGACGCCTCTAGGTCATCCGCCCGCAGAGGTTATGCAGCTTGATACACATGACACTTGAGACCCAGCGATAGGTCTTTTCGACACAAGTGAGGCGGATGGGCAAACGTGGTTCGGACCTTCACGATTTGTGCAATGACTTCATCAGACAAACCAGCGTTAGAGCTAATACAATTGCAAAACCCTGCACATCTACTGCTCTTGCTTCAGTTTGTATACTGCACTTCCTGAAGAATGAACTTAGGCCTTTTATGTGCAAGACAGAAGAGAAAGAAGAGAAAAGAAAGCGTTCAGCTGTAGCACCCTTCCGGTGCCTAGCTGCCATGTCACCCGAAGGAAGCACGAGGGTTGGGATACTGCCAGGTTGCCCAAGCCTAGACAGGGGAAGTCGAGTGGCGGAGGTCGGATTCGAACCGCGGACCTTCCGGTCAGTAAATTCGCGCTCTTACCACTTGGGCCATCTCGCCCCAAGACAGATGCCGTGGTATGGTAAGATGATAGCCATTTAGTTAGTTGGGCTTGTGCTCCGTGTCCATCTTCAAAGATTACGACGACATCGTCTGCGTAAGCCAGATCGACAAGGTCCTCACCAGCAATGATCAGAACATCGACACTCTAAAGAAAGTCCGGCGTTCATCGATGAAAAGGTTTGACGAGGGGACACCACCTTTTATAAACACATGCGCGTAAGGCCCGGGATATATGGACGGAATTCTGGAGCATACCCTAGTGAGGAGACGTGGTTAGAAGCACTAACCGATGTGAGGCTGATCAGCAGCAGAATGGCGCCAACCACTCAGTGCTGCCGAGGAAAAATTTGTGATCAGATTATTGCGAAACTGACCCGACATTATCATTGCGCCTTACCTCGAAACTAGACTTAGGCATCCTAGTCAGGCGTTGAAATATGACTTTATCGGACAAATGGATGATTACACCTTGAAAAAAGGTGTCCTGTTAAATCAGAGCCAAAGTTAGTTGGTGCACAAGTAGACAATAAAATCCCACCAGAGCGGACCTTGTGTCAGTGGACACTTGAATTCCTGACTCGGCTGTCTACATATATCCAAAAAAGCAAAGGAACCTTGGCTGACGAAATGGGGACTAAAACGACACCGTTGGGATTCACGGCAGCAGCACTATTCCCCGCGGACAGTGTTTACACGACGAGGAGTGCCGTACACTCAACTACTGTACTCGGGTCTTGTATCAAATTTTCAGAGATTTAGTCAATATGGATAGATGAGGCAATTTGGATACGCTCAAAAGTGGCTTGTTGGCCGATCTGCATAAGAGCCGAAACGTTAGATGTAATGAAGAGAACCAGGTCCGAGTAGCATATGCGCAGCCGAAGACGTGGGCGGTTAAGCACGTGAATGGTTAGAGAGCGAAACAGGAGAGCTAGGAGGCGTCACCAGTCTTCACTTCTCGGTTCTACTGTGTACAGCCAACGAAAAGATCCGATTCAAACCGAGGACAGTTTTACATACACACTACATGGTTTCGGGATGGAATACTGTCTTTGCGTCCACGCCCATAAAGCAATGAAAACCCACCCCGAGTCTTTGGCTCAAAAGTTCGATAGCAAGGCATCGAGATGGGTATCCCTTAGCATAATTCAATGGATCACTGAGGTATGCAAGACATATCGACACTAGGCGTGTTACTTTCGCAACGCTTTTTGACACAGAAGAACCTACGCGAACCAGAGAAAGCTCACTGGTTAGGGGGTGGAATTACTGAGCCACAGTTCGTCGGGTAATCCTGGGTTCCCCCATTAGCGCTAGAGCTTTGTTGAACAGGTTCATCAAGAAGAACTGGCTGTGGTTTCCTGATCTTTGAACAGTGCCATGAAGGTAGTTTTCGGGGATGAGTTTGGCAAATGGTGTCTTGCCGATAGTAGTGGGACCTTCGGTCACAAAAGCGTTCTTTCTGTCTATTTCCCTACTCATTATTTTTGTCAAGTTGATCAAGAGTTGTTGCTTATAAATCTTGTTCACGTGAAATAAAAAACTGCTGTTCACCGTCATCTGTATGGCAGTCGCGATTGTGGCTGTCGGTTCGAATGTGTTCTTCAAATCGACGTGTCTGTTGTTCACATAGTGTCTTCATGGTATAGCTGTTGGTGCAGTGTTCGGCTGTCTCCTTCCATCGTAGTCCATACTCGGTATCTAGTTTGTCATAGATCAAAGCTAAATTGAGTTCATTGAGGCTTCTTGCGTCATGGGCTCCAACTAGGCTTCTTAGTAGGTTCAGTCGTCTTTTGTATGTTATATTGTTGAGCTTTTGTCTACTTCCGCGTTCGTCTCTGAGGAGGGTAGCACTATCTCTTCTTTCACTTGGTACCATGTACAAGTCGTCTGTTAGGTTTTCCAATTTTTCCCGACACATATGATTGGGGTTTGAGCAGCTCTTACAAGGTATGCGGCCAAACTGTTCCAGTTGCTGACGGGTGGACGGTAGACATGATGGACATAGATTGTTTTTTTGCCACTTTCAATGAGCAGTTGTACGGTTCTCGTTTCGTTCTGTGGGCAAAGTGATGGTGATCTACATGGTCGAGAATTCCGATCAAATCGGGGTGGGGTGCTCGTTTAAATTCGTGCCTGATAATGCGTATACATAAGAACACGTCATCCGCCCACTGTTCCCACATTTAACTACATCAAGAAAAACGGGAACTGGGAGACTACATTGTGGGGGACTGGAATCAACCCGGCGACAGCGGTAAATCGGTCATGTGACGTGTCCATGTGGGCATGCTATAAACATTCTACATAACTACCATCGATGTGAGTCACCAGTCGGAAGCAGGAAGTACAAGGGCAGGGATACTGCCAGGTTGCCCAAGTTCAGACAGGTGGAGTCGAGAGGCAGAGGTTCGAACTACGGACGTTCCGGTCAGTAAATTCGCGCTCTAGCCACTTTGTCCATCTCGTCCCCGGAGTCACCAGTAATACGTTTTATTCAAAAAGGGTGCCTATTGTTCTGTTCACTCACCGTTAAGTCCTGACGAATACTCTTGAACTGCTCGCAAGTCCAATGGTAATCCGACTTCGTGATCCATTTCTGCTTCACATGTTCCAGAGCTAACTTCAGCACAGAGACCGGGCGAACTTCGTGAGGTTCAGGAGCCTGTGTGATAGAAATATGGCGAAGTTAGTCCTGTACGCAACATTCGGACAGGATAATCGAGGAAATAAGAACAAGCAGAAGCGGTACAAGAAAAATGATTGGAAGGTGTTAACGGTAGCAGTTTCGCATTATGAGAAACTAGATTCATATCACTGCAAAATGCACACATCCAAATGTCAACTTGGGACATGTGTTGCGTTTGCCGAAGACAATACTGTTTTCCATGCACAACTCAGAGTGGCGTAAACAGAGAGGTGGCAAACCCTTGACTTAGCAGTGGAGTATGAAGGAGATCACGAAACGCTTGGGTGCTACTCGCCTTCCAGGATGGGGACCGCGTGATCCTCACTGTGCCTGGTTGGAAACACTACAGGATATGGCTATCAACCGATGTCAGTGGCGTTCTTGTTGTCAGTTTCTAGCCAGATTCCGAGGTATAGGCACCTCGGAATGACTGTTGTAAGCTAGAACTAAGTCCGTTCCCCGTCGACCTTTACTCTTTTCTTTAAAATAAGGCTTTCAACTAAATCGTGGTTGTACGCCAGCGGGGCATTGGTGTTGAACACTGATGTCATGCTGTCGATGATGATGAGTGTCAACTTGCCCACCTCCCCCCATCGAATATAGACGGGAGAGCTTCCCGTTCGTCCTGGTGAAGCAATCTCATGCCATGCTGTCTCTTACAGTGGACAGAGTTGGAGCCGTTAGAACACCAAGATGCATCGTTATTTTTCTAGCCGTCATTTGGTGTGCAGTTCCAGCAACTGCGTTCCACCTGTCAACTAAGGAAAACATCGGTATCAACCTCAGGTGTCCAGATTAGAGGTTGCGACGTTGGAGGACGAGAAACCGAACGCAAGAGGTTGATGAGCCGCGAACGATCGGAAAAGGGAAACGCACCACCACACTCTCGAGCTACCGTTGGCAGTGTGTTTGAATGCATATATATACATACATATAATGCTCAGATCTGTATGCCGCATTGGTTTTTCAGCTGACGTTTCGGAATAACCAGTGTGCACTTCAAGCTGAATAAGTTTACAAGGTAGCGATGGGCTCGAAACAACTCAGTGCTTGAGGTGACAACTTACGGACCGGAAGGTCTGTGGTTGGAACCCAACCTCAACATTTCGACTGCCTCTGTCTAGGCTTGGGCAACGTGATAGTATCCCAGCCCTTGTACATCCATCTGGTGGCATGGCAGCTAGGCAGCGAAAGGGTGCTTGGCTGAACAAATTTTTTGTGGTAGCGATGAAGTGAATGATAGCATTCAACACGAACGATTTACGGTTCTCAACAACCGTTCGAATCAAAGAGGGTCGACAGAGTACATTTCTAGGAAACCTGTATCCCATGTGCCAATGCAACAAACGGTGAGGGTATGTTCACCTGCGCACTGCAAGCAAGCGTGAGGTGCAACCACTACATAACGGGACAGTGTACCAATGCTGATGAGAAAAGGATAGTGAGTTGCATTAAATAGGACTGACTACATACCCGTGTCAGACGTAGGTAGGGTTTCTCTAGTTCTTGCATGGTTCCAACAATCTGACAGGCTTGAAACTCTGCCGATAATTCATCGCCTTCGTCCCCGAGATTAAGCAACAACTGACTGGTGGTGCGCGCAATCGAGCCGGAACCGCTCAAAGAAGACATAGAAAGGTGATCTTTGAAACGGTTGGCTCGATCGGACAGTCGCGCCACACTAGTACCGATGTGGTTTGAACCCCGGACACGTTTGCTACCACGGCCACGACCCCGGGAAGGAGGAGTGGGCTCCCTGGCTATAACGGGTCTTTCTGTGACGGTAGAGTCCAAAACCCCACCACGGCCACCACGTTTGCGACGACGACCCTTTTTGACCGCAGTTGCAGAGGTTGGACTAGTGGGACGATCCGAGCTGGAGTTGAAAAACAGTGTGATACAATGGATGGCATATGGTGTAAAAACTGACAAAAAATAAAACCAAGTTTCCATTTGATGAGCCGGGACACTCACATATATACCGTTAAGCAAACGCGGTTTTTAAAGTGTCACGCGACACAATTTGCAAAGACGATCCTTTTACACGGATGGCGACAGCTCATCAACGATACGCCGCGATACATCGTTCACACCACTAACATAAGAACCATAGATAGATATCTATACGTGTAGGGTTGAATGAAGTGCGGAAACTAGAATGTATTTGAAAAAGTCTACATAACCCACTCACGGAAGCCGGCATTTCCGTGTCGCTCGAAAAAAACAATACAAGATTCGAAATAATCATTAAGTAGTGATAATGATAAGACGATACCGATCGCATTAGCTTGATAGGCTGAGGACAAATGTGGAATTGGAGTGACATCAGTACGGAAAAACAACCGCAAGTGTTCAAAATCATATGAAGTGTGGTGGGGATTCTACGTAACTTATTCCAAACCCACGCGCAACTCAGGCTGTCGATAAAATCATTTGTTCAACCTACCATCATCGCCTCCCTTGATAACACCAACATGAAAAACCAGCGATCCAATGATGCACAACCATATCACTTCATTTAAACATCATGAGATGGACGGCGAGGGCCTAACGCTGGTCTATTGCAAACACCCGAGGCGTCTATATGCCCATAACTCAGTGAAGTAATCTGACTGGAAACCGACAGTAAAGAAATCGACGATAGCGGTTAACCGCAACAATATTCGGCGTCTTTAGCAAAGTATCGAGGTCACGTGGATCTTCAACTCTGGAAACAACCATATCAGATAAACCTCTACACGAGAATAGATAGCAGGAAGTATGTTGACACTTCGGGAGCATCACTTGTCGACCGTATGTATGAAGAACTAGTCTAGGTACAGAGAGTGAGCGGAAATGGAAACGGCGATTGTTGGTGGGCCGTACGTGTGGTGCTACCCCAGAATTTGGGAAGTATGTTGACACTTCGGGAGCATCACTCGTCGACCGTATGTATGAAGAACTAGTCTACGAACAGAGAGTGAGCGGAAATGGAAACCGCGATTGTTGGTGGGCCGTATGTGTGGTGCTACCCAAGAATTTGGTGTGAAGATGTGATCGAGGCACACAGGATGAAATCCTGTCTTACTTGTTTCACGTCTTGGAGATAGGCATCGCAACTGAATTGACGCCAGAGACCGCATGGACAAGTGTATGACTGATTTTGAATAGAATTATGATGACTGATTGGCTCCGGTTGTCTAGAAGTCGTTCTTCTTCCCAAATAAGTTCAAACAATCCAAGTGGAGTAAAACGAAATGGTGCAGTATCGCTGGACCTGGGAGAGCTCACCCAAACAGAGCCTGATGGCGTTCCACAACGAACTAGCACTTATTAGGCCGATGAGAGATATCGACTCAGATTACGGCTCAGCCCGAGTGAAAGACACAGGAATTGACGGCTAATTGAAGTGCAATTGGAAATATTCCGCCTAGGACCTCGAGGCCGAATTTTACTGCGTATAGATTTGCAAAATAATGTTTAGTTGCTTCATTAACAGATGGTGGCCTGGGTCCGTTTCGCAGATCAGCTGAGACAACTTCCGTATTTTCGCAGTTGCACGGTCTCCTCGGCATCTTGAGCTTTCTAATTCCACTACAGCTCCCTATGAGCTGACATCTCCCCGACCGCCCAGCCAAAGTATGCTGAGTGATACATCTTGTAGCAAGAAATGAAAGTCATTGTTCTGAGATGAATGCTCGGAAACACCAGGTGCTAACTTTTAGGTAAAGGGTACAACGGTTATCTCTTTCCGCTTAGGACTAATGTCTTCTGAATAGGACGCTTTCAGAGTGTCACACGTTTGCTTGATTCGTGATTCAGCAAGCTACTAAACCGAAAGTTTTTCAGCCTGCTTGGGTGGTGGCGCAACAGTGTCTACCTCACCTAAGTCCAGTACTACTGAAAAACAACTAGTGGTTACTACGAAGTAGTGAAAGACTCAATTATTATTAGGCCTTGAGTTTATGAGTATGCAATCAAGGCGTGCCACATGCTTCGGATGAACTGGGACACCCTACTTGCTCGTCATAACCTCCAGCAATTAGAACTGTATCTGAAATATTTGTGGTGGTTAAGGAATATCTTACATTGAGTACGAACTACAGTTGGTTGATGTATAGGTAGACACCATGAATGAACATCGTCGTCATTATTCCGACAGATGAGAATACTTACATAACGATACGGAACCGACTGTTTACAGATATTCAGTCGAGCAAGGAAGCCCTACCTCGAGTGTTGAGAGCTACAACAATGGTGCGACCAGCTGTATTAGCTTGTAGTGAACGGAGACCAGGCAGTGATGGTGTTACCAGCCCAGTCACTGCACTTGGATATTGTATTAGAGCTTCAGACATGGAGCGAAGATCTATCGAGCAAGCATGGACAGTACACATACGAGTAGCTTGTTGGACAGCTTGTTTAGGTTAGAGAACATCGAAAGGCATATTTAAAAACGGAAGAATGGTGTCTAGTTACTGAACGCAGAAAGCCAGGTTTGAGCGGTGATGGGCGATTGGTCAGTTCATTCGGTGCTTGACTGACGCGTCCACGGTTGGGATCTACGGAAGTGACAACTAACTGGGATGGGAGCTAAAGGCAGTCGAATCTTTTCGCCTATCCGGAATTCAGCGGTGACTCGGTTGATATCACCATGTAACGACCACTGTGGTGTGAGGGGGTATTTCATAGGTGCGCGGACAACCAAACCCTGGACACGACGATTAGGGGCTAAAAGTTTACTGAACGCAGAAAGCCAGGTTTGAGCGGTGATGGGCGATTGGTCAGTTCATTCGGTGCTTGACTGGCGCGTCCACGGTTGGGATCTACGGAAGTGACAACTAACTGGGATGGGAGCTAAAGGCAGTCGAATCTTTTCGCCTATCCGGTGTTCAGCAATGACTCGGTTGATATCATCATGTAAAGACCACTGTGGTGTGAGGGGGGTATTTCATAGGTGCGTTATCGCGGCACGATAAAATTAAACTCTTCACGATAGCGAAAAAGAGTTGTAGAGAGGAAGAGCAATATTCTGAAGAAGCTCGCAACCACTTAGTTTCGCTAATACCACTGGACGCTCACAGTGAATAGGCTAGTTGCTACGCAACTTGTAGTACAATCTTCAAGAATCTAATTGAGGAATTCCAAGTGTTTCGAGCTTCACACACGAATATCAGTTTCAAGACATAGTGACTTCCGAATAGACAGACTGACACAACAGAAGCCGAGGGAGTTACAACCCTCGTGAACCGACTGGAGGTAGGACTGACAGTTGTCTGAGAATAGCCAAAAGAATGCCTGATCCACTAATACCACTGGACGCTCACAGTGAATAGGCTAGTTGCTACGCAACTTGTAGTACAATCTTCAAGAATATAATTGAGGAAGTCCAAGTGTTTCGAGCTTCACGCACGAATATCAGTTTCAAGACATGGTGACTTCCGAATAGACAGACTGACACAACAGAAGCTGTGAGGGAGTTACAACCCTCATAAACCGACTGGAGGTAGGACTGACAGTCGAGCGGAAATGTTGTCTGAGAATAGCCAAAAGAATGTCTGATCCACCAGTGCCTCCGAAGTACAGTGGAATAGCAAAATGTCTAGGACAAGAGCTGAACACCAATCGTATGTAAGTTGACGGAAGGCAGGATCGACAAGTCACCCAAAAATCTCGTATTCAAAAGAGACAACGTGGAAAGGAAGCCCTGAACGTTTCGAACTAAGTCAATGGACAAAAACTTAAAGCGTTTGTTTGTGAAGGTGGAACTGCGGCGGACAAGTGGTGCAGACAGAGAGCTGAGTACGCGAAAGAAAGGAGTTTTTGTCCTGTAAGTGAAATCGCTCTATGCTGAAAAGCCTATAAACACTGTGCATCTGTTTCATCCTTACTTGAAATCACCATTAGCACGCGCCTGAGTTTCGACCTCGTAACATCCCGGCTTGTATTTTGAACGCTTAATAGTTCGGCTACAGAAGGCTGATCGGCAGTCTGATTAGTTCGCACCTAGACAGGAAAAAGCACCGCCCATAGTTCAATCACGGAATACAGATCACGTGTTGACTGGCTCCCAATGTGACTCGGTGGAGTTTCGTGAGATGCGCACCGATGATTCTCAATAACAGTACTTCTCAGCTTTTCAGTACAGATTAGCCTCACTTACAAGATGAAATCTCCATTGAAGAATTCCAATACCAGTAAATAAAGATAGTCGCTTGATGAATCAGCAGGGGAGAACCCAAAGTGACTTGGATGGCTTGAACTCGCCGTGATGGCTGACGGGCGTGAAACATCTATATCAAGCCTAATTTGTCCAGGAATCTCTACCACATAAAATTCAGTCTATCTTTGAGTCCCACCGTGGCTAGTAAATATATGATATCGACCCGGTAAAGGACATGCTTCAGCTTGGCTAAGTAGCCTAGCCGAGTCTCCCCTTGGGAGCATCAAACCCGTGTGCATACCTTAGCCTCCATATTGCATATTCCATCTTCAGCTGTCTTCACGATTGATCGCTGCAGTGGTCGGGGATCTGTTTACTTCGGTAAAGCCAACAATTAACTGAGAGCCTACTCCAGAATTAATGGGCTTCTCACTGTAATACATCTGTTGTGGTGTCACTGATCACATTCCTGAACTTAAAACCAAGCAGGACTACCAACGACACCATAGCCGGTATCACACACAAACATGCTGAAGAAACAGACAGGCATCAAATACGAAATGAAACATAACACGAGGAAGGGTGCAACAAGTGATCAAGAAAAAGGGAAGATCGACCAGCACTGCGGATCGCACCTGGCAGTAGTGGCTGAGCTCTTTAGCTGATTTGAACGGTTCGGTCGAGGAGTCTCAACTCGAGGGGGAGAACGTGAACGCGAAAACAAACGCCATCTCCTACGGGGTGGTGATAGATTGTCGGAGGAAGACGTCCGCCGAGAATCGATTGACCCAGATCTGGATCGGCTGTGTGAGCGTGTTCTGTGACGCGAAATGAGGCGATGCGAAGAAATGGGTGAGCGATCTCGCGGGCTGAATCGTCTAGGGGATGGAGGCCTCTTCTTAGGAGATTTGCTAGGAAATATGTTTCGGCCACCTCTCGGCAAGACTCCAACAGGGAGGCGTACTAGAGACCCTCGGGCTGGTCCGGTTGTTCGAACACCAAGTGAACCAGGCAAGTGAACGGGCCGGACGACACTGACAGTTTGGAGTTGAAGGTAAGTGTTGCGTTTTACATGAAAGTGAAATTGTGAGGCGAGTTAAGAGCCAGGTGCTGTGGTAGTGCGTTTTATCGCGCATTACTGAGTAGTGAACATGGACTAACTCTGGATAAATAAATAACTACACCGCGTAGCTGTTTTACTGTTTAGCTTGAGGCTGAACTTGCTGGGGAAAAGGGACTACACCCCAACTACAGTTTGCAATCAAACCACGTACAAGAGGACGACCCATCGTTTGGTAAGCTCTTAGGGATATTCATCGCCTTCATCTAAGTACATTTTTTCATTCCGAAATTGCCTGACGAGATCGTTACACGACTGGACGCCTTCACATAGTTTGTGTACCGCAAGCGGTTTGCGTGTAGACTATACTGTGCTATCAGTGATCCGGAGAAACAAGGTCGGCGAACGAAGACACGTAAGCCGGTTGAGTCATCAACCAGCCTGCGTATGACATAACAATCAGTTTACGATGAGATCATCCATCGATACCGCAAAGTTCTAACACCACTGTGAATTTCCCCGTGAATACCTGAACGTTCTCGGGTGCACCATTCAAAGGGACATAAATGATCTGGTGGTAAGCCAGTAGTTAGATAATCACTGACACTGTGATCCCACAGCGTAACAGCGTACAGCAGTATTGATTAGAAAACGCAATCAAGCTAATCGATTGTTTCTGCGGCTTAATTTCACATACGAGTTTAGTTCTGATGACGCATCTACGCACATGGGTTGTGTGAACTTCTAGACTGTCGCTACAGTTGGCATAGTATAGTCTTTTCACAATGGACTGCATGCATAGGCCTGGATCAATTAGCCACTAACCATAACAGTTAAGACTGTGAATCGCCGGCTTTCTTCGGCTGAATGATAAAGCAAAAGTTCCGCAGACCAGCTGGAGGATATTTCCTCAATCCCATGTCTAGGTGAAAGGTACCTGGGGAACAGGAACCTGAAATGACGCTAACAAATCGGAATTTAAAATGTTAACCAAAAGAAGCCTCGAGTACTGTCGAAAATTCGGCTAGGACATGCTAGATTCGGAGTTTCTGGCATTCCCTTTATAGGTGTGGACATGAATCACATTCATAAGGGGTAGAACGTAGATGACGTACTGGACCACCCTGAAGTAAGACGATTTACACGGTACGGGAAAAATTTCATTCTGATCTCCATGAGATGGCAAGGCCCTCCGCCGTCGGCTTAGAGTGCCGGGTAAAAAATCGGAAGGTCCCCCCCGGCGCCACTTCATTCTATCCCATTGAATCAGTGAACGTTCCGGAAAAATAACTTATTTGGCAACGGACTAAAGGTGATGATGATGATTACTGACCTCACCGTGAATAAGCCTGTTTCTTCGTACTGCGTAAAAAATCGGAAGGTTCCCCCTGGCGCCACTTCATTCTATCCCATTGAATCAGTTAACGTTCCGGAACAATAACTTATCTGGCAACGGACTAAAGGTGATGATGATTATTGACCTCACCATGAATAAGCCTGTTTCTTGACAACATTAGAATAAACCTTTCTCAATCATTTCCTTTAGTTTTTACTTGAGTATGGTTGGATAGAAACGATCTGACAATGGCCTGACTCATCGTGCTGATGTCTCCTTTACAGTTGTGCGGCACAGGCTACTGTATGCAGTGGTATTCAATCAGCTGGGAAACGCTTGGCATCGATCAGGATGTAATCGCTTCATAAAGAAATGTAGTGTTTTTTTCAAACTTTCCGAAAAGAGACCGCCGTAGTTCTGCCTTCAAAACTGAGATAAGTCTATTTATTGTCACTAAAAACCACATTCGTTAGGAGGTGCGCTGTCTTATTGACTTCGTCCTTCCATGGATTGTTTTCGAACTTGGCCAAAAGTGCATCGGTTGTTGCAACCACAGATGTGAGCATACTGGCCAAGTAACTTCTTCAGGCTGAATCTACTGGTTACCTGCATCCATTTCGAAATTAACCGCCTCGTGTGTTAAGACAGCTGAGAGATCCACATCAGGAGTAGTTCGGGGTTCGGTTCCGTCACCAGAATCCCGTAATTGCTCATTTTCAAACGTTATTAATAAGGAGACATCCCAGCTGGACCGAACCATTCACCAACACACCATACATCTGTGTGGTGAACACCGCTCAGAATCTGCTGTGATTCTGAAAAAACCAAAAACATCTGTACTCAGAAGGCTGTCATAATCGGGAAACCCGCGATTTATACGAGCAACCACACTAGCGATATAAGACCTTGTAACAATCGAGGAGAGAGCTGGAGAGATGATCATATGGCTCCAGTGAATTCATCATTGATATCGATAGCATGACATCAGTGTTCAACACTGATGCTTCGCTGCTCCAGTGAAATGATCCGAACATGGAAATGAACACATAAATACACATCGATCCCATCAGCCCATTTCCGAAATCGAAGTATCTACCCTGACGGGATCGGTTAAATCGAGGAAAATAGTAACTTCATGGGAGGGTTCACACCCCCCTTTTGTGGTACGCCTGAACGTTGGGCTACTTGAACATTGTTTGCTAAGCACAGATAGCTGACCAAACAGTTAATGGTAAGATCTGACTGCTGTATACAACATGGCTTTAGGGCCGAAGAGGAAGTTTGTAGCCTTGAAAAACGGCAAGGTAGCTATGTGAGTTCAAGGAATTATTTGAGACCAACATCACCCCTGCTTGGATGTCCAGGTGCCATCACCACGAGGCCACATATGAGTTAAGAATCCCAGGAACGACAAGAAAGAAACTCACTTCACTGAGCTAGGACGAGAAGCAGCGGCCGCGGCGTTCTGCAATGCAGCGATCGTCTTGCTCGGAACAGTAGGTATGTTCTCTGTGGTCCAGTCAACTGTAATATTGTTTCTGAAAATGTATTCAAGTTTCTCCTTCAGTATCCTCTCCATTTGATCTTTTTCTTCTTTTGTGTCGATACTGCAAAATGCCCGCTGAACATAGTCTCTGAAAACAGAATGCAACCCGAAATTCAAACAGATAAAATATATTTAAAAAAACTTGGGGTGACCGCATTGTGAAAAATGGCAAACGCCAACAAGCTGTCAGGAGACTTGAAAAATTGCCTTTTATAAGATACACAGACCCCACGAATCGTCCGAACCATGATATTCATGTTGGTGTGCAGACCCACACATTGACGCACCGCTATTCTTCTGCCAACTAGATCGGTGACGAAATGCTCACAACTAAATTGCCCAGCTGAGCAATCAGATCAGAGAATACTGCTGAGCGTAACGAAAAACAGCCAACTAACATTGAAGAAAATGTGGTTTTCTTTGGGCGAGATGGCTCAAGTGTTTAGAGCGCGAAATTACTGACCGGAGGGTCCGTGGTCCGAACCCGACCTCTGCATCTCGACTTCCCCTGTCTAGGTTTGGGCAACCTGACAGTATCCAAGCCCTCGTGCTTCCTTCGGGTGGCATGGCAGCTAGGCACCGGAAGGGTGTTACAGCTGAACGATTTTTTCTGGATGAACCGGTTAGACCAAACAGAGAAAAACAGAAGCGCCGTTATTTGATTCAAAAATGTTGAATGATATTAGGCAGTGATTTCGTCTTTCGTGAGAGCACCGAGAAGCTACTCAGATAGAAGAATTTACCTACCATGCAAACCGGTTCGCCTGCAAGCATGAGGTTCGGAGTTGACCCCACTCAGTTTTGCATTATATTTAAGACCGTTTGCATTTTAAAGGATCTGATCCAAGGAGAGCAATTTTATTAGTGTAGGTTTATATGAATCATGGTTGTACGGCAGCGAAAAATCAGTATTGAACACTAATTTGATGTTGTCGATGATAATGATCACGATCACTCAATGATTATGTGCGAACGATCCCGGGCTGTTTCGATCCCACTGGTGATGGAGGCAGGTAAAGACACAGTGGATTACGAATATAGGGAGAAAGGGTGACAGAGGACATCCTTGTCTGACACTACTGGATGTGGTCGTGGGCACTGAAGCACCCACGGGATGAGGTACAGAGAGAGCCTCTGTAAGACGACGAGGTCAAAAGCAGGTGTGAGCGCTTGTGCTGGCTAGAAACAGATGGTGTTCAACACAACTGAAGAACTTGCTCCCCACTAGCTGAGCGTCAATCCCGAATCGGTTGCCAAGATGAGCTTACTCAAGCCCTAATCGGTCAACCTGAGCATTCATATCATCTGTCAGGATCATTATGTAATTCTCATTGATCGCAGAAACCGTGTCAAAT